TGGCCATCCAGAAGTTGTGGGCAAGGGACTCTCTTAACTTGATATTTATTGAACATCCTTTTGGGCTTGGCCTAGATGCTCCCTGTTACCCCAAAAGTATTCAACAGGAAGAAAGCTGATGAAATCTCTCTGGGCCTAGAGTTCCCACATCCTCTGAGGAGCCTTGGCACCCGTGTCTCAGTGTCTCTGGGGTCCCATCCCTAGTCCAGGAGCATGGGGTGGCGGGACAGGTGAGCCCAAAACCAGCCTTCACACTTCTCTCTGTTCTTGAAGGGGGAAGACGTTTTCGTCCCGCTAACTCTGGGGAACAGGAAGAGGAGGCGGCTGGCAACTGAAGGCTGGAACACTTGCTACTGGATAATCGTAGCTTTTAATGTTGCACCTCTCCAGGTTCTTAAGGGATTCTCCGTTTGGGTTCCATTTTGTATACGTTTGGAAAATAATCTGCAGAAACGAGCTGTGCTTGCAAGGACTTCATAGTTCTCAAGAATTAAAAAAAAGGAAAACAATTCCACTTGATCAACTTAATTCCTTTTCTTTACTTTCCCTCCCTCACTCCCCTTGCCTTCCTCCCCCTCTTCCAAGCTGTTGCGCTTTGCAATATGTTACTGGTAATGAGTTGCAGGATAATGCAATCTTAACTTGTTTTCTCCTAAGTGTTTGAGTTCAAAACTCCTGTATTTAAAGAAATACAGTTGGGGTCATTAATAAAGAAAATCTTTCTATCTTACATGAGAATTTGCTGGGTCTCTAGACTGAGTCCAAAAGAGAGAGGAGGAGGGAGGAAGAGTACACATGACGCTGCCCTTGAACCTACAGAGTCCCATCTGGGAAACCTTAGATTCAGGAGTCCCCTAACCTCCCACTTCGAGGAGAGAAAGAGGATGGCTGGCTAGTGGGCTCTGGTCAATGGTTCTGAGTATATGTGAACAGGCTTCCTGTAAACCTTGGTGACAAAGTCTGGCTGTGGCCAAGTAGTTTCTGGGACCATGACAGTCATATTGTTTTCTGGCTTCTTATTTTATCATTAATTAATGCACAGCATTTCCCAAAACATGTGTTCCGTGGCCTGTGTTGTTCTGCAGGACATTGATGGGTATTATGTCTGGACGTAATGCAGACTGAGCGGCCGCCCTTTGTCTTCTCACACAGTAGCCCAAAAGACTGGCATTCCACAGAATTACCTTTGGGGAGATGCTCACCTAACATTACCAGGTCTAGCAAAGCATGCTGTCCCCTAGCAGGACACTGATCCCAAAAATGAAAGCGTTCAGAAAATTCGGTAAAGAATTATCAGGGCAATTTTAGGAGCCACTGAAATGGTCTGAGGGCCATCCTAGTGGTTTCTAGCTTCTTGCTTTCCCTTTTAACTTGTCTCCACCTAGTGAAGTGAGTTTCAGGCTGGTTTGAGACCCATTCATGAATTGTCCTGACGTTTTTATTTCCTTTTTTTTTTTTTTTTTTTTTTTTTAAGATTTATTCATTCATTCATTCAGAGAGAGTGAAGAGAGAGGCAGAGACACAGGCGGAGGGAGAAGCAGGCTCCATGCAGGAAGCCCGATGTGGGACTCGGTCCCGGGTCTCCAGGATCACACCCCAGGCTGCAGGCGACGCTAAACTGCTGCGCCACCAGGGCTGCCCACATTTTTATTTCCTAAACCGTTATGAGATCACTGGAGATTCATATGCAGTTATAAGAAATAATATAGAAATTCTGTGTGCTCTTCACCCAGCTCCCCCCAGTGGTAGCATCTCGAATGACTGTAGTACAACGTCTTAGCCAGGACCATGTTGTGGTCCAGGCCTGACTCACCCGCCCATGTGCGCGCACACGCGCGTGTGTGTGTGTGTGTGTGTGTGTTGTGTATTTCTGTGTCTCTCACATGTGTAACTTCATCACTGGCCTTTTTAAGGTCTTATTTTTTGAGAGCACGAATAGGGTAGCGGGGGTGGATAAAGGGAGAAGCAGGCTCCTTGCTGAACAGGGGCTCGATCTCAGGACCCTGAGATCATGACCTGAGTCGAAGGCAGACAATTAACCAACTGAGCCACCCATGTACCCCAGCCTTTTTTTTTTTTTTTTTAATGGGATAGTATAGATCAGTATACATCACACTTCTCAAGGGTAAGTATTGATTTGGGAATGTGTTTTAGTTTTGTACATACATCTTGATTGGATTATGAAATGCCTTTTTGCTGTGAGTCAAGTCTGAAAGCCACAGGTCATTGAGTCACCTGGACTCCACTGAAATGGGCTCTTAGCTCAGGACTTAGTAGCTAAGTGCCCATCCCAACAAACGTGTACTGGGGAGTGCTGGTGCTGACGGGGCGGCCCCTTGTCACCTGCTTCTGGTGGCTGGCAAACCTGGAAAAGGAAGTGCTGGCTGCTGCAGAAGCCGCCTCCTGGGGAGCCAGTATTTAGTTGCCATTGCAGTTCCCTTCAGTCTCAGTGGTATGAAGACCCTTGTCCTAAGAGCTCCTGAGGCCAAAGACCCAAGCCTACGTCTGCTCTGGGAGCTGTTTTGAGTTCAAGCAATGCTACCCCTTCTGGGGATTGCTAAAAGCAGTGCAGTGTGGCTCTGAGGGAGCCGTGGAGAATCTGGTTAAGCACCAACAGGGAGGACCGGGGTTTCTTCAGCCCATAGACTGGACTCCAGGCTTCCTGAAGCCAAGTTCCTGGCCAGGATTGTGCCCAGAGGCTGCCAAGGGCTTGTCTGCTCTTGCCTATGGAGACTGAAGAGTTTTGACAGCGGCTCCTGGAGGTCAGCCAGGGTCCAGAAAGCCTTGAGCCTCCTTGCCCTCCATTCATCCCGTTCCCCGTACCCATACCCCAGCCCCTGCATACCACACCCACCCAGTCCTGGGCCCCCAAGGTCAGCAAAGAGCTTCAAATATCCCAGAGAATGGAGTGAGCAGTGAGCGAAGGCCAGGAGGATGCTCTGGCAGGGTTGAGCCCCCAATAGAGGCTCTGCCTGAGGAGAGGAGAATGGGGGCCACGGAGGGGGCTCTCCAGCCTGCAGCTGACATGGAGCGGCTGGAAACTGCTGGCGCCAGAGCCCTCCTGTGGGCAAGAGGAGAAGGCCAGGGATGAGTCCGTGCCAGAGGTTGATGGAGCCGAGAAGGCCTGGATGGTCCAGTGAGGAAGAGACAGGACCCAGGCTTCCCGGCCCCTTCATACGTCATCCCACACACAGTGTTTAGACAAAGCAGCGAAGAAGAAACACAGACATCCTGGATCCCGTAGGGAGGAGGCCAGGGCTGGGAACAGAAGGTCTGTTTATTCCTGGCAGTCGAGCATCTGAGGGGCCCCACACCCACTTCTGTCCGGGCCCCAGGCTGAACTCTCCCAGAGCCTCTGACTTCTGCCGCCAGATAGCGTGGGTCGGAGGGCCGGCTGCCCGCTTGAGGATGGGCTTGGGGCTGGATGCTTCCCTCCTCTCCCCTCCTGTCCCAACAGAATTCCTGCCTCCCCAGGCCCCCTGGCCACTGTGCAGGATGGGTGGAGCTAGACCCCTGGGACGCCCACCCCCCACCTGGGTCTCCCACCCCCCTGCCAAGGGCACGAAAGTCCCCTGGCTCTGTCTGCCTGTGCTCCTGAGCAGGGAACTCTTTCCTTGTTTCTCATCTCCAGCTTTATTGCTGCAGTTCCAACCTGCTCCCTCCCACTTAAGCCGGCTTCTTTCCAGCACCCCAAGGCCTCGCGTGATACAAGCAAAAATTAGAGCATCACACCTCCTGGCTGCCTCGCCTGAACTTACCTGCCCTTCCTCTCCTGTACCTACTTTCCTCAGCATCCCCATGGAGCAGAAGTGCCCATTCTCTTGCTTTTCCATGAGCCTCTATCTGCCTTTCCCTACAGAGTTCTCTCTCTCGGACTGGACAGGTGGCTGGAGGGAAGTGACATGCAGAGAAGGGCAGGAATCCTAAAAATGGTAATGACGGCTGCCTTTCATGGAGTGCCTGTGTGCCTAGTGCTCATCCAAGTCCTCATCACGCATTAGCTCCGTTAGTCTCACCATAGGTGAGTGCAACATAAGCCCCATTCTACAGATGAAGACACAAAGGCAAGAGAACTTCAGTAATTTGCCCAAGTTCACACAGCTTAAAAAAAAAAAAATCCCAGCCGGAATTCTAAGATTCAAATCCAGGCCTTCTGGTCCCAATACTGGCTCGCGCCTCTTACCACCATGGAGGGGAAGGAAATGAATCATTTGTTGAGAACCAACACCTCCCCCCCACCCGATCAAGTGTCCGGCACCAGAATATATGCAGTCACGTGTTACTCCATGATATTCCCCAACAGCCCAGAGAGGTAGGTGTACTTGTTCCCATTTTACAGGTGGGAAAATTGAGGGTAGCCGGCCCAATGCCACACCCCCCAGAGCCATTTCAACCTCATAGCTCAGAACTTGATTCAAAGTCATCGAGAAAAGTGCAGGATGACCCCAGGTTCTTGAAGGCAAGGTTGGCTTTCTAAGCTGAAAGGCCCACCAGGTGACAAGGATGGGGAAGATCCGCAAGCTCCAAACAACCCCGCCACTGCCGCCATCAGACATGACTCTGCAGTGCACGGGTCCGGGACGTGCTGTCAGCCGGCCGGCCACTCCGGGGGTTCGAGTCTCATAAAATGTAAATGTATTAGCTCAGATGGGAAGTGGAGCAGGGTAGACAAAACCATGATTCCTCATTGACTGGAAAGCAATTCTCAGACTAGCTAGGCTGGTGGCCAGTGACCGGCTCCAAGTTGGGTGACCTGACGTAGGGGATCCGCCGCCTTGGTGGCGAGCTGCAGCCAGCGGCCGGGGAAGGGGCACACTGGTGGAGGATAAGGAGAGGGCACTGGACAGGGATGGGAAGGCCTCCCCGTTGCCGCGGCGCAGGGTGTGCCAGGTCCCACCCCCAGAGGCGGGGCCAGGCCGAGCCCCACCAGCCCCAGCTCTGTCCCTCCAGAACCCAGGCGGGGGCAGAGCCTGGGCAGCAGAGATCCCGGGGCCCCGCGGTCCCGGAGGCACAGCAGACGGCGCCTGAAGCCCTGCCCGCCTGCCCGCCTGCCCGCAGCCAGTCCCTGACGCGAGGAGCAAGGCCCAGGCCGGCCCAGCGACACCTGCCCCAGCATGTGAGTAGCACCTAGCCTCACTGGAGACCGCAGCCCAGACCCTGGAGAGCGCCGCACCCAGTCCAAGCCGCGGGAGCCTCCCGGTGGGAAGGGGGCCCTGGGGCCACCCCGCCCCCTCGCTGCTCCGGGGGAGGAGGGGTGAGGACGCCCTCCAGGCTGAGTGCTGGGAGCTCCAGCCCGTGACCCCAGAGTCCAGCTTTGACAAACAGCCCCCGAGGTCTCCTGGGGCTGGGGCTTAATAGAGTTCATGGCGTGGGGACGAAGGAACAGAAACCAAAGGGCCTGCTAGACAGGGAAGGAGGTCCTGGGGAGAGCGCAGGGGTGAGGAGCGGGGGAGGTTGAGGAAGAGGAACCGGGCTGCGGGGAGGGGAAGGGAGGAGGCAGCCTGGCGGGGCTTGGCGGGCCCAGAGTTGGGGGGAGGAGGGGTCTGGGAAGAGAAGGGGTCAGCCTGCGTCTCCGGGGCTCGGGGTGGCAGCTCAGGGTGGCGGTGATGCCCTCGGATCCGGGGTGAGGAGGTGGGGGCAGGCAGGAATCCATTCCTTATTGACTTTAACCCTGGCAACAGCGGCTGCTCCCCTGCTGACAGCAGCAGGAGATTCCCCCGGGGGCCCGGACCCCCCCCCTCCGCACGGCGTGGCCCTGGGGCCAGGGTGTCTGAGGGGCCTGAGGACACAGAACCAAGAAAGGGAAGGACAGGCCCAGATCAGAGTCACGGAACGGCAGCTCCTCCTGTGTCCGCTCTGGGCTCAGCCCAGCGCCCCGGGGTGTGGGGACTGTCCCCCTTCCTGCTGGCACCTTCATCCTCCCCAGTGACTCCCCTCTGCCTCCAGTTCCCAGGAAGGGCCCTGTTGCTAGTGTGGTGAGGAGGAGTCAAGTTTATGGGCTGGAAGTCCTACCCAGAGGCTGCTCACTGGGCTGTAACCTGTGAGGCGGGGGAGAGGCGGGGAGCTCAGGGGACAGGGTCCCCCACTTGCTGCTGCCACCCTGGCCCTGGCCTGTCACTAACTCAGGCGTTGAGCAAGCCCTGCCTTTGCCTCTGCCTCCTGCCTGCCCTGCCCACCCCTCCGGGTCCTTCCCTAAAGCCCTGGCACCAGCCAGGCTGCGAGCGCCTGAGGATGGGGACCCCTCTCCGTCACAGCGGCCACCCCTAGCACTGGCCCCAGCCCAACCTGAAGGAGCCCCTCACGTGCTGGCCTGGCTGGAAGACCAGGACACACCCGCCAGACCCCGTCCTCCCTTTCAGCCAACTTAGAGGCCTCGGCTGGTGGAGGCCGCCGGACAAGACGCTCTGGGGCTTTGGGGCCCCGTGGGGCGGCCCTGCAGTCTCAACAGAGGCCTCAGCACAGCTGCGGGGAGCGGGTGGGACGGGGACAGGTAATAGCAAGGGCCGGCGCGGCAGGGCGGGGACGGGGACACCGGGTGGACACAGCCCGCGCTCGGCGCCCGACAGTTGCTACCACGCAGGACAGAATTGCTGGCTGGATGTGACTTTTAAGAGAAGCCCCAAATCGTGAATTTTTACGCAAACTGTAACCGGCTGCTCATGAAAAAAAGGGCGTATCCGCAAGCCAGATAAGGCCGGGCGGCGGCTGGTGGCGGCGGCTGGTGTGCAACCCGCGGACGACGCGGACGACGCGCAGCCCCGGCTGATCCCGGCCGCCCGTCTTTCACCCAGGCTCGCCGGCCGCGGCCCCAGGCCTCCCCAGTCCCGATGACACCCAACAGCACCGGGAAGGAGCCCAGCCCCGTTCCCGCGGGGGCCTTGGGGCTCTCCCTGGCCCTGGCCAGCCTCATCGTCGCTGCCAACCTGCTCCTGGCCTTGGGCATCGCCAGGGACCGGCACCTGCGCCGCCCGCCCGCCGGCTGCTTCTTCCTGAGCCTGCTGCTGGCCGGGCTGCTCACGGGGCTGGCGCTGCCCGCGCTGCCCGGCCTCTGGAGCCAGAGCCGCCGGGGCTACTGGTCCTGCCTCTTCCTCTACCTGGCGCCCAACTTCTCCTTCCTCTCCCTGCTCGCCAACCTCCTGCTGGTGCACGGCGAGCGCTACGTGGCCGTGCTGCGGCCCCTCCGGCCCCGCGGGAGCCCGCGGCTGGCCCTGCTGCTCACCTGGGCCGGGCCCCTGCTCTTCGCCAGCCTGCCCGCGCTGGGCTGGAACCACTGGGCGCCCGGCGCCAACTGCAGCTCCCAGGCCGTCTTCCCGGCCCCCTACCTCTACCTGGAAGTCTACGGGCTCCTGCTGCCCGCCGTGGGGGCCGCCGCCCTGCTCTCGGCCCGCGTGCTGGCCGCGGCGCACCGTCAGCTGCAGGACATCCGGCGGCTGGAGCGGGCCGTGTGTCGCGGCGCCCCCTCAGCCCTGGCCCGGGCCCTTACCTGGAGGCAGGCGAAGGCGCAGGCCGGGGCCACGCTGCTCTTTGGGCTGTGCTGGGGGCCCTACGTGGCCACCCTGCTCCTCTCGGTCCTGGCCTATGAGCAGCGCCCACCGCTGGGCCCAGGGACCCTGCTGTCCCTCATGTCGCTGGGCAGCGCCAGCGCGGCAGCCGTGCCCGTGGCCATGGGGCTGGGGGACCAGCGCTACACGGCCCCCTGGAGGGCGGCCGCCCGAAGGTGGCTGCAGGGGCTGCAGGGAAGAGCCCCCCGGGGCGGGCCGGGCCCGGGCAGTGCCTACCACACCGGCAGCCAAAGCAGCGTGGACCTCGACTTGAACTAGGGGCAGGGCCTCTGCTGGCTCCTGCCAGAACCATCTGTCCATCTTGGCCACCAAGCCGGCCTCCTCTTCCCCACGCCTCTGGATCAGAAGCCCTGCCCTTATCCGACTCCACCCTGACCCAATAAACCCATCGGGCCCAGTTCCTGGTTATCTCATTCCGCATCCCTGAGCAGGAGGCAGGAGGGACACCAGCGGAAAGAAACTAGAGCCAGACACGCACCTGCGGAGATCCCGACTCCCTCAGAACTGACTGGGGCGGGGGGGGGGATGAGACACCGCCCCAGGTGGTGAGCTGAGGTACCTCGAAAATGAGATTTTGCTGGGAGCCTCACCCTGACGTGCCCCTCACCGGTTCCTCCTGCCCAGAGGCCACAAGACCCACACACACACGGTCTCTGGGAAGTATATTTTATTTACATTTTTAAAATCTGTAACTAATATCTCTTCCTCCTTTCCACCCCCAGAGACTTGGGAAGGGAAAGAACGGGAACCTCAAAGACCTACTCCCCACATACAAACACTCACCCCCGCAGCTCACGCCAGCAAATGAAGGTGAAAGAGAAAGAGGCCTGACCCCCCTCTGAGGGACCCGCAGGTCTGGGCGAGGGTGGGGTGGGGGGCCAAGGGGTGGGTCTCTTAAGAGAAGGGACAGAGGGGGCAAGTCGGCTGAAGGGGTTGGAACGCAGTCCGTGGCCCCCTCCTCCTCCCCGTGCCCTACCGCCTCTGCTGGTGGGGTCTCCCTTCACCCCTCAACACCAAAGCAGAGGCCGCAGCCGTTAGCGGTCAGGTCTCTGCACACAAAATACTTTTGCTTTGTGGTCTCCTGACGTAGTCACCACCAGGGAGGCATCTCTGTGGACAGAAAGTGCAGGTCGGCGGGGCCGAGGGCCCGGGGCCCGGCCCAAGCCCACCACCCGGGGCCCTCGGGTGGCCACCTCCAGTGCAGCCTCGATTCTAGATCCCCAGTGCCTGGCACCGGGCTGATGTGCCACGTGGAGGGAACACGCTTAGAGCCAGCAACCACTAAGGGGATCAGAGGAGAGCCACCGCATGGGGGACAGTCCCAGCCCCTCAGCCCTGAACTGAGATGGGAGAGCCCAGGCAGGTCCCCGTCAACCAGATGTCGCAACTCCCTTGGGCTTCCCAGTGCGTCTGGCTCGCGGGCCGCCACCAGGCCTTGGGGTCCAGCTTCCCTGAGGAATCCCCTCCCACGGCCCAAGGACTCCATGGCCCCCGCGTGCTGGTCCCACCTCCCAATCACACAGGGGCTCTGGCCCTGGCCCAATTCACATACTTGCTGAGGGCAAAGTCCAGGATCTCGGCCGTGTGGCCCCGGTAGTCGGTAAGCAAGCGGCCGGTGCGGGCGTCCCAGAGGCGCACGATGCCGTCCAGGCTGCAAGTGTAAACCACGGCGGTGCCTGCCTCCCACAGCAGCTGCACGATGCCCGACTACACCCAGGTGCCAGAGAGAAGGAGGGCGTCAGGGCCAGGGAAGCTGACAGGCACCTTCCCCAGACTCTCAGGGACAGAGGGAGGGGAGGAAGGAGGGGAGGAAGGAGGGGGGGAGGGAGGGGAGGAAGGGGTGGGCGACAGAGAGGCCCCGCCAGAGCTCCAGGCTGCCTGTACCTGGTGCTGACACTGATGCCTGAGGGTCTGCGTAGACAGGTCATAGATGGCCAAGGTCCCATCCAGGTAGCCAACAGCTGCCAAAGGCATCCTGAGCAGAGGGGAGTACCACTAAAGAAAGGCTCGTGGAGGGACGTGGGCTCACGCACCCTGCACTCCTCCCTGGCTCCCCGGCCCAGGCGCCCCTTGCCCCACCCCCTTCTCTACAGCTGTCCTCATCTCCAGGCCCAGGCCCTGGCACTTCTCACTCTCACACTCACACGCTGCAGAAGCCCAAAGACTCCACGGAGTTGGACTCGCTCTCCTCCCCCTCTCCGACGTTGGGCTGGGAGGCCACGGTCTCGGGTCTGAACACACCCACCACCTGTAAGCCACGGGGGATGGAGAATCGGGACGGGAGGAGGGCTGATGGGAGGGCTGACGAGAGGGCAGCAAGGCAACGGGAGAGGCACAGGGGACGTGGGCAGCAGAGGCTCCAGCGACAGGCTGCAGGTCGCACTCACCTTGCCAGTGGTGGCACTGACCAGCTGGGCCTGGCAGTCCACGGAGCCAGTGAGGATCAGGCTGCCGTCCTGGTTGGTGGCGACACAGGTCAGAGGGCCCTGGTGACCCTCGGTCCCTAGGAGGGGGCAGACAGCTAGGTCAGGCTGCCCCAGGGCCCCGAGTCCTGCCCCAGGTCTCCTGCACAGACACCCCCAGCGAACCCTTCCCCTGCCTTAGAGACCTTTTAGTACGTGGATCGGACTTCCCTGCTTCAGGTCCCAGATCCTGATGGTGCCATCTTCATAGCCGACCACAGCTCTCTTCCCTGAAGGGCCACAGGCACAGAGGAGGTCAGATGGCACCTTTAGGCACACCCAGCAAGGGAATGAGGGGGGCGGGGAGACAGGAAAGTAAGGGAGCAGACCCTGCCCCATGGAAGGAAGAGTGTGCAGTCCAGGCCGGAGAGGGGACGCGGTCTGCTCTGGGGCCTGGGTCCACGCTCTGGACGGCAGACCTCAGAGCTGGCCGGCCAGGACCCGGAGGGAGCCCAGGAGGGTGAGTACACCTGGAGCCAACCTCTGTACACCCAGGGAAGGACGTACGGAGAGCTGCCCTCACCATCAGGGAGGACACGGCCACAGGTAGCTGGGCAGTTGGGGCCTTGGAAGGTCTTGCAGTCTCCATTTGGGACCTTCCACATCCAAGTGTTGCCATCAGCGGTGCCCGCCAGGAGGACAGGTGCCCGAGGGTGCCACTCCATCCACTGGGCAGAAAGGAAGGGTCAGCAGGGAGGCGCCTGTCACCCCATCCCGCCTAGGAGCCTGTCTGTCCCCTAAGCTCCACCCAAGCTGTCCTTGCTGCTGAGGTCAGCGGGGCCTGAACGGGAAACGGAGTAGACACCCTTGCTGCAACCTGAGAGCGCACTGGCTCAGAGCTGGCTGTGTCCGGGACAGGCGACACCGGACCCCCAAGCCCTCACCTCCCACCCAAGGCCCCACACAGCCAAACACCACTCTGACGATCTCACCTCCAGGTCTCCTGCTTCAAAGGACCACACTTCCTCCTTGGTGTCCACCTGCCACACTTTCAAGAGGCCACTCATGTCCCCGGTGGCCACTAGGGTAGAGTCGTGGCTGAAGCCAGCACAAGTAACAGAGTCTTTATGGCCTGCAAAGCAAAGTAGGTAGAAAGAGAGGAGAACGTCAGGGTACCTGGTGCTGGCGACACACGACCCAGGCATCCGGCCCCCAGGAAGGACCAGCTGGGAAGGAAAGAGGGGGGGTTCCCACCGTTACAGGTGACTCGAGTCACTGCCCGTGCCAGGCGCCAATACCCCCAGGCCTCCCTAGGGGTGGCAATGCTAGCCTCCCACTCAACCGTGCCTCGCTCAGGCTTACATCCTCCCCACTCTGTCCACTCCACGCCTCTGCCCCAAATACCTGCTCCCCCTTTCTGCCTAAGCCAGTGCTACCTCCTCGCAGACCCTGCCCAGACTCCTTTGGCCACTACCAGCTCCCTCCCCTGCACCCAAAACAGACTAGATCATCTGCTTTGAGGTCCTCGGGTCCAGCACAGGACGGAGATCAGTAAGTAGCTGCTGGAGGCATGAGCACAGCAGGCTAGCCCCCTAAGACCTCCAGGAGAACAGGACCTCAGCTGCGCCCCCTCACCTGCACACTCAAAGAGCAGCTCCCCATCGCTGAGCCTCCACACGAAAGCTTTGTCATCTTCACCCCCCGTCACAGCCAACGTGTTGGTCTTGGGGTCCAGGCTCACACAAAACACAGACGCTGTCCCAAGAGAGAGTCCACGAGTGAGCGGACAGGGCTGCCACCCAGGGTCCTGTCCTTCGGGAAGCCCACCCGCTTCCACCCAGAGCACCATGTCTTTCCTCCAGAAAAGAAGGGTGCATCCAAGTTCTAAGTTTCAAGCATCAGGTTGTTGGAGAAATCCCTCCCTACGCTTGCCAAGCTCCGGGTCCTTCTGCAGGGCCGTTGCCTTCACCACCCCAGACTGACGCTCAGACCAGAGCAGTGGACACGTGCAGGGCTTACAGGCTCAGCCGGGGCTGCCACCGGGCTGAGCACGGAGTGAGGGCACCCTGTCACCTGCCTTATTACGGACCAGTATTTGAGAAGATTATACAAAATATGCTCAGAAAAAGTACTGCCACCTCTAATTTACGATAAGGTAACTTCCTGAAAAGAAACAAAGACCTAGAGACGCTGACAAAGACCACAAATCCGTAAGGAGCAAAAGCAGATCCGACGCCCGGTGCCTGGGCGGGCTCCAGCAGCCCAGCCCCCCCCCCCCCCAGGCCATCCGGCGCGAGCTCCTCCGGGGCCCTCTCCCCGTCCCGGGGAAGGCTCCGGGCACAGCAGGCGTCTGATGTTCAGCAGCGCAGGTGCACGGGGTTTACCAGGGACCTACCTGAGTGCAGCGCGAAGGTGACTTCGCTGTCGTCCGGGCCCTCCATGCTGCCCACCACTCCTTCCTGGGGTTCCAAAACCCAGCCCTCCTCGTTGCCCTCTTCCTCTTCTTCCTCTTCTTCGAAGTCCACGTCTTCCATCTCCTGGGCCAGATCATCTGCTTTGGGGAGAGGGTTAAAAGGTGGGGCTCGGCAGCCAGAAGAGGCTTAGGCTGGGGTGTAGCAAGAGGGTCGGCTGAGGTCACACGGAGGGGGTGAAGCGGCGGGGAGGGGGGCACTGGCGACGGAGGACGCCGAGGCTGAGGACCCGGGGCTGGCCAGACCGTGTGGGAAGGGAGGACCGAGGGGATGACGGGAAGGGGGTGTGTGAGGGGAAGGGCCGGAGGAGGCGTCAGGGGAACCCCCACCCCTGCCAGGCCTGGGAACTACGTGCGGGGGCAGGGCAGGGAGTAAGGGCGACGGGGAGCGGCAGGAACGACCGGAGGGGAGGGGGGCCGGGGGGAGAAGCAGGGGTCAGGGGCCGGGGGAGCGCCTCCCGTCCCGCGGCCCGAGCGGCGGCAGTTCTCACCCGGGTCGGGCGGGCCAGGATCCAGCTCTACCACCTCGATAATCTCTTCATCACCATGGAAGCTCAGGGTCTCCAGTGGGGGGGTGTCAGCAGCGGCCCCGCTCTCCGATTCGGACTCCATGCGGCGCAAGCGGCCGATCCACTTCTCTGGGCCCAAACGCCTCCCAGAGTCAGCTCTGCGCGACGACGCGGAACTCGAGCCCCTCCTCCCGGGAGGAAGTAGGCGTAGGCGACTCCCCGGCAGGAAGAGCGACGGCCGCTAGCCCAATAGCGAAGGGGGCTACCCGGCTGATCCACCAATCACGGGGCAGAGCTGGGAAAGGGGGCGGGCCGTGGCGGGGAGAACCCAAACTCCGCCCGGCCTGACTCCGCCTCCAACAGGAGGGAAACAAGCGAGCGTGCGCGCCTCCGGGGTCTCCTGGGAAGAGTAGTTCTCCCGGGTCCCCTCGCGGGCTTCTGGGAGATGTAGTTTCTGGTCTGTAGGCAGGACGGAAGGAGCGGGGGAGGCCCCTTACGCAAACTACAATTCCCGGCGGGGAGCGCGGTGAAGGGGGATGGGATCTGAACATGGCGGCGGTGGTAGCTGCTACGGCGCTGAAGGGCCGGGGGGCGAGAAATGCCCGCGTCCTCCGGGGTAAGAAGAGGGACCCCGGGGAGGGCAAGGCCGCAGGGGATCCCCTTCTTATATACTCCCGACCAGCGATAGCAGGAGGTCATGGCTGTCGGTTCCTGCCCGCACCTCTCTGCGGGATCATAAAGAGTCTGGGGGCTAAAAAAAGATGCTCTCTGGAGGTCACCCAGCCCATCCCCTGCCCTCAAGTTCCGCGACACCTGCAGGGTCATGCTGCGAGAGGGAGCTCCGAGGAAGCCTTTTAGACTCCCGCGCTCCAGGTGTCTCACACTCACCGCAGTGCAGAGGATAGAGCCCCGGGCTTCGGGAGGCTTGGGTTCTAGCCCCGGATAATTGGCAGTTTGACCTTGGGCGAAGCAGCTCGTCTCTCGGGGCTTCAGTTTCCTCTTCTATAGAATGAGGGGAAGGAGTAGACTACCTTTAAGCTCCAGTGCTAACGTTCTGCAGTTTGAAAACCTTTTCTCCGATTCCCTTCCTACGTCTTATGTGAGCCCCACTGCAGTCCTTCACTTCCTGTGGTCCGAGCAGACGAAGAGCGACGAAGCTCGCCGTCCTGGCACCGGGGTGATGAGCCCGCAGTGACGTGGAAGTGGCTTTCAAAGGTGTCACCTCGATGGCAGTTTTCCCATCTCCCTTTGGATTCTCCCTAGCACTTGTTACTCCAAACCGCAGTCACTCCCCTTCCTCCCCTGGGCTCTCCTCCTCTTACTGACCTTCCTTCCTTCCTTCCATCCACAGGGATTCTTTCAGGAGCCACAGCTAACAAAGCCTCCCAGAGCAGGACCCGGGCACTGCAAAGCCACAGCTCCCCAGAGTGCAAGGAGGAGCCTGAGCCCCTATCCCCTGAGCTGGAATACATCCCCAGAAAGAGGGGCAAGAACCCCATGAAAGCTGTGGGACTAGCCTGGTGAGTTTTAACTAACTCTTTGCCCACCAACGGGGAATGGCACAGGGGAGGGCGGGACCCAGAAACTTCTCCAAGTTTCGGGTGGTGAGTTGAATCCGAGGTTGTGGGGATGGAACTGCTTGGAGTGAGGATTGGACTCTCGGAGGAATGAGGCAAGGGGGGTGGGAAAGTATGTGGAATTGGAGACACAGTGGGTTTTCTGTAGTAGTAAGCTGAGCTAATCTGATTTGAATTTGGGTCCCTGGCTTTACTCTCTCTTTTGGGAGCTTGGGGTGAAAGGCAATTGAGCTTTCATTGAGGTCACGTGAGAGAGAGTGTATTAGTTGAATAAGGAGCATCTAGAAGGTGTTCAGTGTATCGTTACTTAGATCTGATTCTGACCTTAATATGTATCGATGATCAATATTAAAAGGAGAGGAGGGGGAAATTAACGTTTTTTCCCCCACACCTGAGGTGTGCCTGTACTTTACAGTGTAATATGTTTAGTTTTTCTGAGATAAATGTTACATCTCCTAAATCCAAAAGATGAAAACATGTAAGAAAAAAATTACATCTCATTTCATAAAGGAGGGAACTAAGGTTCAGAGGTGGGATCCTCGCCAGGTCTTGTGACTCCATGCCCTCTCCCCCACACCAAAGTGCCTCCCAAGTAGTGGTTACTCAGATGGAGAACGGGGGTCTGGGAAGCGACATGGGGCGGTTAAGGCAGAAGGAACCTTTGCCGACACTTGGAGAGGGAAAGAGGGTGGGCTATCTGGAGAATCTGGCATAGCTGGCACAGCGGGATTGCGGGGGCTCATGTCAAGCAGAGTGTCAAGCTGTAGGGGACAGGAATGGAAAGGTGGGCAGAAAACCAACAACACGGGGCCTTTTGTGCTGTGCCTAGGAGTTTGGATTTGGCCAGGAAGTGACGGAGAGCTGTTACAGAGTTTTAAGCAGTGCAGCAGCAGGACCTGGTTTGCTTGGGGCCTTCCAGCAGCCAGTGCGGAGGCTGCATAGACACAAGAGGTATTGCAGTATTTGTGCGATCGATGAAGCTGGAATGAGATTCCCCCAGCAACTCTGACTCAGGCTTGGCCCCTCCCCAAACCCCATGCACATCTCCCCACCCCTAGGGCCATCGGCTTCCCCTGTGGTATCCTCCTCTTCATCCTCACCAAGCGGGAAGTGGACAAGGACCGTTTGAAGCAGATGAAGGCTCGGCAGAACATGCGGGCATCCAACACGGGCGAGTATGAGAGCCAGAGATTCAGGGCCTCCTCCCAGCATGCCCCGTCTCCTGAAGCTGGGCCGGGAGTGCAAGCCTGAGGAACACTGCAGCCCTCCCCTAGACTGTTGACTGTGGCCTCCAGACTGTGAAGCCCTTTGGGTTTGGCCGGATTCTGGTCCTTGCCTGTGAGGTCCACCAGAGGGCGCATGAAGCCCAGGCCGCTGCCGGCCCCTGCCCTGCCCTCCCGCGCCCTGCCCCTTCCCAGAAGCCAGCCAAAGGCAAATAAAGTCATCGAGTGTTTCAAGCAGAAAGGAACCAGGAGTGGGCTTGTGCATCCCTTGGGACGGGAGGGGCAGAGGGAGGGGTTGGTTACTCACGTGTGCTCCCTCTCACAGAAGCCCTCAGTGTTCCTGGCTGGATGGTTGGGGAGACTACAGAGACTTAAGTACAACAGGCCTAGGCTCAGGCCCTGGGGACCAAGCCTTCAGAGCTGCTGGCCAGGAGGGTGGGGTCCCACTGAGCCTCTAACAAAAAATAAAGAGAACCTGAAAAAGGACAGTCAGAGTGTGAGGGGGAGAAAGCAGGACTCCTCTTGGTCCGGTCCAAGTGACTTAGCCCCTCGGGGCCTCAGTTTCCTTTGTTGTCACAGGGATTGAACTAGTGATTTTCTAAGACATGGGTTCTAAAACTTGAACCTGTAGTCCATCTCCTCCGCCCCCCTACGGGCAAAATTGTGTGTACACATACAGCTCTGTGGGGAGGAGAGTTCATAGCTCTCCTGGGCTTTTGTAAAGGGTCCATGAGATGCCACTGCTCTGACCAGTCCCTGCCAGACCCAGTATTGCAAGGTTGAACCTGTACCAGAGTATTGCATGCATTACAGGAAGCACTGGGGCAAAACATATTTGGTTATCTTAGAAAAGGCGGAAGATGCCAAGCCAGAATGCAGAGGTGGGAAGCGGATGCTCTGGGCAGAGCCAGACCAGCACTCCCAAAGCTCACACCATAAAGAAACCAGAGCCAAACAGCGTTTTAACTTCTAAACATAAAACTTTATTACACTTCTAGATATGTCCTTTTGTGTGATATATTTAGAACCAAGTAGTTAAGAGAAGTCTTAATTACACCCTCGGGCTGATTTGGTTTCCACCCCCACAACAGTGACTCTTGTTCCCCCTTCCCCTTCACTTGAGGCACTTGGTGTCACAAAGAAAGAGGCAGGTTTAAGGCTCAAGTCTAAAATCCCCCAGCACAAACTTTGAGGGGAAATCTTTCGCTCAAGGTCCTCCCCAGGTTAATGTAAAGAAAGAACATAGAAGTTTCCATGGACGTCACAGGAGGTGTTCATTTCCCTCAGACCAGGTGGAGGACCCCCAGGGCATTTTCCCTGCCCCCACCCTGGCCTCTCTTCACCCTGGTTACTCCCTGGCCACACTTAGGATCCTACAAACCACCCCACCTCCTGACCTTCGCTCCTCACCTTCTGCTGAGCAACCTGGGCAACAAGAAGCAAGAGGTCTCTGATCAGAGATCTCAGAAGCACCCAGGGAGGCCCCAGGCAGCTTTGGAGAATGGGGACCAGACAGCTGCCAACGCGGCCTGTCCTCTCTACCACCAGAAGCCATGAGAAGCCCAGGGTAAATGCTGCTTTTTATTGCCCCCTGTGCTTGACTTTGCTGACTCTCCTCTTCCTCCCCAACTCCAAACAAACAGCACATACATGCCATCAAAAGAAGAGGGATTGAAGCAGGGGAGACCCATGGGCACAGATCTCATCTATCTTTGTAAGCTGGAAGGCGCCAAGGGTTGTCAAAGGAGTACAGGACAGTGGCCTAGGAGCACAGGAGGCTAGGGACAGAGCTCTCTGGCTTTGTTGGGGGTTGAGGGCAGAAATAGCTCTGGCTATTATGTAGAGCCCAGAAGCCTAAGGCATAGGTGGGAGGGGACACCTCATCACCTCAAAGTCACTTCTACCTCTCATACTCCTTTTTGGCTTTGGAATAGGCTCTCCTTGTCCCTCCCTGCAACCCCAGCTGCTAAGAAGAGTTTGGTGCCAGGTAGCAGGTAGGCAGCCAGCCCATCTTCTGCCTCGTTCTCACTGAGTCTGCCGAAGGCAAGAGTTAGTCCCCAGTTCCTCCAGCCCGCCCAGGACCTGCACATCCGCCGCCAGAGAGGCCACCCATCCCAAGGCAGAAAAGAAACTGGGCATGTTACTGGAGGAGAAGGAAAGGGATCTGGGATCCAGACTCTGGTCACAGGGCCCAGCCCTCTAGGAAAGGGAGAGCCTGCAGTGGGGCGGAACACGGTGTTCCTTAATTGCGATCCCCAACCAGCTGCAGCACAAAGGTGAAAATGTAGATGATGTCAGTGTAGATCTGCAGAGCGCCAGTGATGTAGTCCTCTGGGCTGATGGTGTGCTTCCGGTTACCCAGGACCAGCTGCGTGT